AGCTAATTGTCCTTGCCTAGAAGCAAGGGAGGGAGCCAGTCTCCTTCTGATACCTTGCCCAGGAGGGGAGTAGGGAGTTTACATGAGCCTTTTCATTTCCAAATGAAGTTACATTAACCTCTTCATTCCCAAATGGAGTTAATTAATCTTTTCAGCAGCTGAAAACCATATATTCCCTTCCCATTCTCCCGCTGTTCCCTAGCTTGTTGTGCATTCTTTCCAAAATTTGGGACTTTTTAAAAACACCACAGGATGTGGGACAAATTGTTAAAAATCAGGATGTCTGGTCACCTTACCTTAGATCAAAGATGTACCTAGTTTTCAAGAGATCAGTTTCTCAGAGACTAGGTGTACTGAGGCTTCTCTGAAGCCAACTCAGTCAATTTTCCTTGCTTGCTCTTTATAATAGTCTTCAAAAATAACTGCACATGTTTTAAATTCCTACTTTGATTATGTGTGTGTGTGTATATGTGTGTGTGTGTGTGTGTGTGTGTGTGTATGTATTTGAGATAGGGTTCTTGCTATGTTGCCCAGGCTGATCTCAAATTCCTAGGCTCAAAGGCTCCTCTCACCTCAGCCTTCTGAGGAGCTGGGATCACAGGTGCACGCTACTGCACTGGCTTGTATATTATTTTTATAAAGTTAAAAAGGAGATTTCTTTGGTTTTGGAGTACTCAGATTACTACCATCTGAAAAAAAAGAAAACCTGTTTTTTATTTTAGTTGTCTTCTCAAATCCTTACCTATGCTTTTTTCATATTGCTAATCCAAAACTGAAGATGCTTTTGCAAAAAATGCTGGATTTGACAGTATTAAAATACATATTCTGTTTTCTAACTCTGATAATTGAGATTTTCCAATCAAACCAGGTGAAGTCTGAATTTGAATCAGGACATGGCATTCCACTTTAGAATTTTTTTTTATTATTACTTTTTTTTATTATTATTTTTGGAGACAGAGTCTCTCTGGGCTCTAGGATTTAAAAAGAATCTTTGAAATTGTATTCAGATTATAGTTTAACAGCAAAACCGGGTACAGAATGGTCAGAATCACCAACTTTCAATATGTGACTTGTGACTTAAGTATTTTAAGGGATTTCAACCAAAGTATAAAAACATCATTTAAACAACTGGCATTAAGAAATATACCGTGGCCAGGTACTGTGGCTCACACCTGTAATCCCAGCACTGTGGGAGGCTGAGGCAGGTAGATTGCCTCAGCTCAGAAGTTGGAGACCAGCCTGAGCAAGAGCGAGACCTCGTCTCTAAAAATAGCGTGGCGTTATTGTGTGTCCCTGTAGTCCCAGCTACTTGGGAGGCTGAGGCAAGAGGATCGCTTGAGCCCAAAAGTTTGAGGTTGCTGTGAGCTGTGACACCAAAGCACTCTACCAAGGATGACAAAGTGTTGGGGTCCTACCCCGGCGCAGGGTCTGCTATGACCTGTGGAAACTGGCAGTGACCACTGAAGAAATATAGAATTAGAAATGAGGGTAAATAAAGAGACATGAGACTTAGAGTAGAATTAGAAGTGGGAGCTCAGGGGTCCATTAGCCTTTTGTGGGCTTCTGGCAGTGGCACCAAGTGTTTGCTCAACTCTGCTTTTATTGAAGATTATTTGCCCAGAGGGGAAGTTGAAGGAGGGAACAAAGAAGCCAGCAGTTTCTCTGACTGCGTGTATCAGCTCCTCTTGTTACTATTACTAACCTTAAGGGTAGCCTTGAGAAATCTGACCCCTGAGGCTTGTATTGGGAGAGCCTCCCTCTTGAGATCACACACACAGATTTCTAGGGAGGATTAAACTCTGCTAGTTCTCTGTGGAGTAAAACGCACTGGTGTAATCTCTGAGGAATTGGTGGGAGGGAGGAATTTTCCTCCCATCACCACCATAGAGGAACTTCCTCTCCATAAGACGGATAAGCTCTTCTGCCCAAATCTCGGGGCTCAAGCTACTCCCTTGAGCGCTGCCTCAGGCAAATGCAAATCTCCACAATGGGTATGGGCTTTACCTGTTGACTAGTTACTGTATCTTTCCAGGTCTTTGCCACAGTCTCTTCTATGACCATTTTTCCTCAGTGCGCACAGACCCAGCGGGGGTGTTTGTAAGCTGTATCCCCAACAGGCTAGAATTTCAGAAAAGGCAGGAAGCTTGCTAGCAATGGCTAGCTTAAATGTAAACTAGCTGACTTGTCTTTGTTCTGATTCACTCGGCTTACTTTTAAATTTTCCTCTTTTTATGCTTTCCTTTGCCAAGAATGGGGTCTTTGGTCCCCCCTCTCCCAGCAACAAAGTGAGACTGTCTAAAAAACAAAAAGAGAGAGAGAGAGAGATGCACCCTGCTCTTTCTCAAAATGTACCCACTGGAGTAGTTACTTCGTTAGAAACATTTAAACCCTCAATTGAGGATTCCTACTTAGTGGTTCTATCTCTTTTTCAAGGAGACAGCTGTGTACAGTATGAACAGGAAATACAGAGGCCACTGTGTCATTGTCAACAACCACAAATTTACAGACAGACCAGGGACCGACAACGATGCCCTAAAAGACAGACCAGGGACCGACAAGGATGCTGGTAAGAAAAGTCAGAAATAGTTTATTTTATTTAATTTTATTATTATTATTTTTTTTTTGCAGTTTTTGGCCGGGCCGGGTTTGAACCCCCCAACTGCAGTATATGGGGCCAGTGCCCCACTCCTTTGAGCCACAGGCGCCTCCCTGGAAATAGTTTATCAAATGCAAGTTGGATATTTAAGTTGCTCTGTCTGCTGCCGATCTTAAAATTATTATTTTTTCCCCCATTTTCTCTCTGTAACTTTTATCATCCATATAAATGTAAGGATGATGTCATAAACATTTCTAAGCCTTCTGTATAACCTTAGGGTATCACCAGTCTGCTAAAGAGCAACAAGAGCCCCTGACTATTTAAACCTCTGTTGTGTGGAGAGAACATACTGGGTCAACACGAGGAAACCTGGTCTTGAGCTCCGGCTCCTCCTCTAGCTAGGTCTGGGACCGTGGGAGAGTTGTAGGTCTTCACCCTCCTCGTGTGAAGCAGGGTGAAACACTGTTACCTGCTGATTCTCAGGACTGTTGTGACAGCCCTGAGTACTACAGGAAGGCAAGTTCATAGTAAGATTTCGTTGTTACCCAAGTATTTGCTGTGCAATTTTTAGAACATTGTCTCTCTTCCTCGTTTTGGTTTGTTCTGCTGAGTTTCATTGCTTCCTCCTCCCCTCCTTTTCTTGCAGAGTGCCTTACACAAGTGTTTGAGTGGCTCGGCTTCACAGTGTGCCAGTATGATAATGTGACCAAAGAGGTCATGGACCAGGTTCTTCAGGAGCAGAAGCGTGATCCAGACCATGATGACAGGGACTGCTTCGTGTTCTGTGTTCTGACCCATGGAGATTTGGGGGCTGTCTACTCTTCAGATGGGGTCCTCATTCCCATTCGGAAGATCACGTCTCACTTCACAGCCGAACAGTGCCCTGGACTGCGTGAAAAACCTAAGCTCTTTTTCTTCCAGGCCTGCCAAGGTGTAATGACACAGTCCTCTGTAGCCATTGAAGCAGATGCCTGGAACCCTGAGCACACACTTAAGCAGAGCATTCCTAAAGAGGCAGATTTCCTGCTTGGGATGGCCACTGTCCCCGGCTGTAAGTGCTTCAGGGACGTGGAGAAAGGCAGCTGGTATATTCAGTCTCTATGCAATTGTCTGAAGAAGTTGGTCCCAAGGTGAGTGTTCAGTTTTTTTATCCACCTGCCTGTTTATCCATCCATTCATCCATCCATCCATCCCTAACGACCTTGCATTGAGTACCAGCATAGACCTGAAAAGGAAGCTATGGAATTAAGAAAGACACAATCTCAGGCCGCATGTTGCTCATAAGCTTGAGCCACGGACAGACAGACAGGGAAGAGCATCCCCAGGTGGTAAATACATGTCATGAAGCACAGGTGTTATGGAAACACATGGGACAAGTACCTCATCCAGTACTGGAGGATCAGAGGAGGCTTCTAGCAATGGCAAATTGACGTTAGGCAGAGAATCAGGGTGAAAGACATGCTGGGCAGAGGGAATAGTATGAACAAAAGCACGGAAGGCTTTCATTTGTTCCTTCCTTTCTAATTTATCAGGCACTCTTATTTGCCAAGCACCTGCCTATGTGCTGGCCTGGGCATTCTATTCTATTCTAACAACTTCCCTTCTGCCACATCCTTGATTTCGGTACCCTGGCATTGGGCCATCACCAGACTCTCTTCCCTGCACTTTCGAGTTCCTCTTCCCTAGCTCCTCTCCTGGCAGAGGGACCGAGAGGCCACTGAGGCCTGCATGAATATGTCTCCCAAATTGCCATCTCTGGTCTACTCTTCTGAGAATTCCCAGAGGGCAAAAACCCTGATTCATGTAGCTTTGGCATCTGACTCAGTATCTGATATGTTGCTGGGCCTGATAAATATTTGCTGAGCTAATGAATGACTGCCTGAGCCAACCTTATTCACTGCCTGCCAGATATACTACTTTTGTGTTGCTCTAGGATGACATATTCTGTATGGATCTTCCAGCCTTCTCAAGGAGCATCTGCTCCTAAATTCCCATTTCTAGGAATGGTCACCATGCTGTTCTGGGAATTTAAGACTGGAGCCTTGAGTCACTTTTCCCTCTTCTCTACCAAACCCTTGATGCTCCCACAGCTGTCAAAGGCCAATGTTTATGTCTTTTTTT